AGGGGTTGCGGCGCGGGTTGTCGCCGCTGGTGCCGCTGGCTGTCTTCCTCGTGGCAGGCGCAGTACCCAGAGCCTCCAGAAGGGGCTGCGGCGCGCGTTGTCGCCGCCGGTGCCGCTTGCTGTCTTCGTGGCAGGTGCAGTACCCAGAGCCTCCAGAAGGGGCGGCTGTCTTCCTCGTGGCAGGCGCAGTATCCAGAGCCTCCAGAAGGGCCCGCGGCGCGCGTTGTCGCCGCTGGTGCCGCTGGCTGTCTGCGTAGCAGGCGCAGTATCCAGAGCCTCCAGAAGGGCTTGCGGCGCGTGTTGTAGCCGCTGGTGCCGCTGCCTACCTTCCGCGTGGCAGGCGCAGGAGCCAGAGCCTCCAGAAGGGCTGGCGCCGCTGCCTGTCCTCGTAGCAGGCGCAGTGGCCAGAGCCTCCAGAAGGGCCTGCTCACCATCATCCTCTTCACATCTACACAGCACCACCCTCACACACATTCAGCTTCTAATCATCCTCTTCACCTCTCCCACTCACATCATCTCAACAGATCACCATCCACACTAACACGATCGGCTTCTTCAAGCGTGTGCATCTTCACACACTCCTGATGCAAATGAGCATGTTCACACACGCCTCATACAAATGAGCATCTTAGAGGGTCTGATTTCACGTGGTTTGACTTCGCACTCACATATTTCCCCACATCTCTGTGTGGGGTTCTAGTTTTGTTGGCTGGCATCCCGTCCGCATCCGCTGGTCCTTCCTTCCTTCCTTCCGTCCTCTTCGCCCCCTCCTCAGTCACGCACTCACTCACTGACTCACTCACTCACTCACTCATGCTTCACATCACTCACTCCACTCACTCACTCCACTCACTCCACTCACTCACTCACTCACTCACTCACTCAACACAACATCTGCTTCACATCACTCACTCACTCACTGACACAACACAAGATCTCACCACTCACTCCCTCACTCACTCACTCAATTCACTCACTCACTCACTCACTTCACTCACTCACTCACTCACTCACACTCCCGTGGCCCAGAGCCTCCAGAAGGGGCTGCGGCGCGCGTTGTCGCCGCTGGGCCCCCCTCTCTCTCTGCAGTGGCAGGCGCAGTACCCAGAGCCTCCAGAAGGGGCTGCGGCGCGCGTCGTCGCCGCTGGGCCCCGGCGCAGTACCCAGAGCCTCCAGAAGGGGCTCACCCACTCACCCACTCACCCACTCACCCACTCACCCACCCACTCACTCACTCACTCACTCCCTCGCTCACTCACTCACTCACTCACTCACTCACTCACTCACTCCACTCACTCACTCCACTCACTCACTCCACTCACTCCACTCACTCACTCCACTCACTCACTCCACTCACTCACTCCACTTTACATCCTGCTAGCACTGCCCGCCGTGGTCGGGATAAGACTACTTGATAGCTTTGATGGTCGTTTCGAGTGTGTTACGTTTTGAAGGTCTCATGCGGATCTGATCGCAAAACCCAGA